GGATGAAAGGAGAACAAAGAAGGAGAAAGGAAGAGAAGGGGAAAGTAGAGGGAAAGGGGGAAGAAGGAGAGAAAGAGAGTGGTACAAGTTTATCTGCTTTAATTCTCCTTGAAAGGTCAGTGCTAATGCTCAAGTACTACAGAGTGAGATTGTTGGTAGTGTCAAAATGAATGTCCACCTCACTGGAATGCCTGAACTGAGACTGGGACTCAATGATAAGATACTCTTTGAGAATACAGGACGTAAGTTAATAATGATACATCATAGTAACATTATTTTTCTAAATATGGGCCACAGTGGGGATTGCATTATTTAATTATTTAATTATTTCATTTGTGGGTATTTTTATATGCTTCTAGTTTATTCTAATCCCTCAATTGATTTATGAATAAAATTTTCTTGGAATTGCTTGGGAGGAACATGTAAATATTGTTGATTCGATGTAGACGCATCTGTACATGTACATACATGTACAATGGAAAAGTGGGCATTGTGGGTAACCACAGTGAAAACCCCTTTGTCTGCCTTCTTCCCACAAAATAAATTGAGGTTAACTTGACAAATCTGCTACTAAAATCTTTTCTTCTTGATATTCTTGTCATGATACTTGATAGACAAACTGAAACATAAATTTGTAACCACAGAAGTTTATACAAGTCTTGCTTCTATCTTCATAGCATGGTGTACATGTACATTGTACAATGTATGGGTCACTGTAGTTCTGACATCTGATAGTCAGTCTAAAATACATTTAGCATTATCAGATTGCAATGACTCATATAAATAGCATCATTATCTTCTGTTACACATGAATAGATACTAGTACTACATGTACATGTATATTTTATCATAGTAATGACTATAAATTTTTTCTATTCTTATTAGGTACTCGCTCTAAAGCTGTTGAGCTTGAAGATGTCAAGTTCCATCAGTGTGTGAGGCTCTCGCGTTTTGAAAATGACCGAACCATTTCGTTTGTCCCTCCCGACGGAGAGTTTGAGTTGATGTCGTATCGTTTGAACACTCAAGTGAAGCCGCTGATATGGGTGGAGTCAGTGATTGAGAGACACTCCCACAGCAGAGTGGAGTATTTGATTAAGGTAGGATCACGTACATGTGCATGGGCAGTTCATTATAATTCTACCTTGTTTGGGTAAACTGACAGCTGGTACTACGGGTATTTTTTTTTGGGCATTGTTTCTTTTTAACTGTTATGTAAACACATTGTCACATACATGTACTGTCTAATTTTGTCTGTATAGTTAAAAATAGACACATACACTTACAGTACATGACGTGATCATTGGAAGGAATTTGTTGCTGCTAACTTACAATTGGAACCAAATTAACTAATAACTGAAGCATAATATTATTGTTGACATAAAATTGTAACTATAGAGTTCCCCAAAACATTTATAATACTAATTATAAATGTTTTGGGGGACTCTATACAATTTTGATAATCTTTTTTTACTTTCAAAGCAGAAAGATAATGATCAGGCTATCAAATTATAGTATATTTGTTTGTACATGCATATCACATGATTCACATAACCTTTTTTTATCCATACTTTTCATTTCATCTATATTAGGCAAAAGGTCAGTTTAAGAGGAGATCTACAGCAAATGATGTTGAGATATTAATCCCAGTACCAGCTGATGCTGATACTCCAAGGCATAGGGTAAGTACCATACTCATCATTCACATGAACTATCACCTAATGTGTTAGTGTACTGCTGGTACTGCTACTTATGCTCCAGAGAAGAATGCACTATCGTGGAAGATCAAGTCTTTCCCTGTGAGTCTTTTCCCCTTCTATTCCTCCTTGTATCCTGTCTTTCCTCTTCCCCTCTACCTTTTATTTCTTTCCCTTTATCCTCCATTAATGTCACCCTTTCTCTTCTTTCTCCCTTTGTCCCTCTCCTCTCTCTTTTCTCTCAGGGTGGGAAGGAATATGTATTGAGAGCTCATTTTGGTCTCCCCAGTGTACAGTCAGGTTAGTCACATCATAGTCACATGAGGTATTTATATTGACTCTCACTTTATTATTACAGAGGAAGGAGAAGGACGGCCACCAATCTCCGTCAAGTTTGAGATCCCTTACTTTACAACTTCAGGCATACAGGTAGGTAGAGTTTACTGAGATATACTGAGTTTTACTGTATATTATGTGTGGTTCAGGTCCGATATTTGAAGATTATTGAGAAAAGTGGTTACCAGGCCCTTCCTTGGGTTCGCTACATTACTCAAAATGGAGGTATTGTATGACTTTTTATTTGTATTTATGTTTATTTTTTCTTTTTACTCCTATAGACTATCAACTTAGGACTCATTAGTTAGCTGTTTTGTGGTTTTTTTAATCTTCTTCTCTAAGAATAATAATAATATTGGCTGTGATTATTATCTTTCAATTAATACAGTTTATTATTAATGTAAATTTAAGTATGGCTGAAATTTGAATAATTATAGAAAAATTTTGCTGACTCGACTCCTACGCGTAATCATTGTGTAAACAAAGTTTTGGGTTGGGTAAAAGCCCTACTTATAAAGGTTTTCTGAAGGTCTGGTACTTTTAGTTGTATCTTTTCCAATCCAGCATATGGTTAGTTTTACTTTGATTACTTTTCCACTTCTTGTTTTTATTGTACAGTTTCATTGTCATGACTGATTTAGAAGTAGAAGCTGATGGAATGATGCTGTCTGAAACACACTCGCTATTTCTACAGCTAAAAGAGACTGCAGAGAGAAAAGACTTCATTCCTTTTAAGCATATTCTAGACAAGAGTCAATCGGACCTAATAGATCCCTCTACTGGATACTATCCTATTCATGTCGTTTTTGAACAAAACTTTGTTGAAGCCTCAAGATATCTACTAGATATTGATCACACTTTCCTAGATAAGAGAGACAAAAATGGCAACACGCC